CTGCATCTGGGTCCCTGGAGTCCCAGCCCCACTCAGGGCACCTGTGCCTCAGGGCAGTTGGTACAGAAGAGGCTGGGGCTACCCTGGCCCTGGCCCCTTTGCTGCCATCTGCCCTGAGGCACACATACAGAGTTTAATTGAATGCTTAGATGGGGGATGGCCTGAAACCGCAGCTTAATTACTTTGATTAAACCCAGGGAAGCCATTAATCCCCATTTAATAACCCAAGGGGCTGTTGGGGCCTCTCAGATAATCAGAAGCATGGAGGGGACCTGCCATGATCAGCCTGTGAAAATGCTGGCCAGCCTTGCAATCTCCCCATGAAATTGGCTGCCTGCCTCCTTGAGTTGGGTAGATCCCTAGAAGTGAGAGAGGATGCTGTGTGTTAGGGCTCAGGTGTTTTGAGGTTCTAAGAGGGGGCATGCATGCTACAACTCCGATTTAAGATGCACATTTGCAAAAACTTTGAAGTAGGGTTACCATATTTCCAGTATCAAAAAAGAGGACACTGGAGGGGGGGGATAGGGGGCAAGGGTGGGGAGGAGAGAGGAGAGGGGCATATGACTGTGTGGGGAGGCAGTGATATGCCTGTGTCCTGCCTCTGCCCCTCACTCCTAAGCCCCTGCCCCCCTATCCCTGCCAGTGTCCCTCACTCCTGACCTGTAGTGCCCTGTCCCCCAGTCCTGCTGGTGCCCCACACTCTGGACCCGCAGCACCCTGCCCCCCCAGCCCAGCTGCCCATGCAGCTCCCATGTGCATGCTTGTGTGTGTGCGCGCACGCACACACGCACACACATACACACACACACACACACACACACACACACACACACACACACACACACAGAGTGTCTCTTTACCTAGGAGTGGCTTGCCAGGGCCCACGTGCCCCCCAACAGCCAATCACCTTGCCCGCTGCTCCCAGCCCCTAGCACGCAAGCTGCTCACGCTCGGGAAAGCGGAGGCAGAGCAAAAAAACCCGGGACATTTCCTCCCATTTCAAAAACCCTTCCGGACATGAGGACAGGGACCAAAAAAGCAGACACGTTAGGGAAAACCTGGACGTACGGTAACCCTCCTTTGAAGGTCAAGACTGAAGTGCATGGGCAGAGGTGTGTGTAAGGTGTCAGGGAACTGGGTGCGCTGGCAAAGCTGTCTGATGTGTCTGGGACTGGATTAAAACAGAAGGAAGGGATCAAATTCTGCAGCGTAGATTTTAATTTAGCCTTTAAAAACTGATTTTAAACTCTTTTTACTTTGAGCAAAGAGAAAAATATATTGTGCAGTTAACTAAAAATTCTTTTTTTGAGAGGATGGACTGCGCTGGAACTGTATCCACCTTCCTTTTTTTTTTTTACATCTCTCCTTAGAACACACTTTGAATGACCTCACCAGGCCTAGCAATGGCCAAGGTCACAGCACCTAATTATAGGTTTCTTCCTCGTGGTGATACTGGTAACATCATGGTAATTCAAAGGCTCCCTTGTATCACTCACCTTCCCATGTATCATCGAATCAGGAGCAGCTCCTCAGAGGGCAGTCACACAGCCCTGCTGCTCCCTCACTCCACCCTTGGGACTTGTTCTCTGCAACCAGGGTTTCTCATTCCACAGCAATTACAGGACCGCCTGCTTTTTCTTTTTTTCTATGTGTAAAGGACCACACCCACCTGTGTCTCCTCTCTGTCTGTTACTATTCTCTCTTCCTCTTCTGGTTGGACACTGTAGTGTGTGCAACAAAATCTCAAACCATGCCAACAGCACTAAATGAAAAAAATTCATACCACAGCAATTAAAGACGGAAAAGTCCTGTCAGGTTATCTAGCCCATCATTCTTTGCCCAGCCCAGGCGCTGCAGACTTGTTCCCTACGGTACATTTTCCAGTGCTGTGTCCAGTCTGTTTTTAAGTAGCCTAACCAATACGGCATCTATCACTTGTCTTGGGGATTGTTCCACAGTCTAATAGAATTCACCATTTGGAAAGATTTCCTGATTATTTCCTTCCATTTGGTATTACCTATTCATTTCTAACTTACGCTTTTTGTAGAATACTAACCAGCCTCTCTCCTTCCTTGATAGTTACAGCTTTCAGATGGCTATAAATGTGTTTCATATTTTCTACATGGCCCTTTTTTAGCCAGAGTATTTAGTGCTCAACTTTCAAGCCTGCTAATTATAATTGTTGTCTACTTCACAGGGGTGATTCTTGTGATTAATTAGCTAATAGTTGTGCAGAGGTGGGGCTTGTAGTATCACCCATTATTAAGTTTACCTCACATTTCCCATTATAAGACTCAGTTTTTAGTTCTTATTGAGCTGACAGTTTTTATGCCAAGTATCTGCCACAGCCCCTTTTATTAGCCAAAGTTTTCTTTGCTGTTTCAGAGGAAGCGGCTCCAGAAAAACTACAATTTTATCTATGTTAAAAAGTTCTTGCAATCTGTTCTTTGAATAGTTGTCCCTTTTCTTTAAAGTTGAGTCTCAGATTTGAGCTTGGGGCAGCCCTTGGGCATCTTTACATGTGTTTCAGGGCTGGGAGGCGGGAGCGGTGCTTCAATTAGAGAAGCTCTCTGGAGCTGCTCTAATTAAAATGCCCGCGGCGTCACATGTATTCAGTGTCCCATGCTTCAAAATGGTGGCAGGAGCACTTTAACTAAGCTCATTGAACAAGCATTATTTAAAGCACCCTGGTGCGATTTTGAACAACAGAGACGTTGAATATACAAGACCTGGAAGCTGCTGGAGCCTACTAATTAGCAGACTTGATTAATCGAGTCTGCTAGAATATACACAGTAATTACAGTGCGTTGGAGCAGACATCCCACATGTCTACAGGTACATATAATCTCTGAGAAAATCCATGCCCATTTCACAAATTATAAGCCTTTGAAAAATTTCAGCGTGCACAAGCATTGTAGAAAAGATTATCTTTTTTTTAACAGGTAGTCGCCAAAAATTCCCTCTTCACTGACCATGCTTCCTATCCACACAGCTCCTACTTCTAGATTACATGTGTACCTTTCCCACAGAGAGACTAAGCATTTTCTGTCACTGGGCTACAGGAGCTCAGAAAATCTTTCTCTGCAATGGCTGCTCTGGGCTGTGGTTGAATTAGGAAGTGGAACTGACCAGGAAAACTTATCAGCAAACTTATCACCTGTCTTTTCTGTGCTATAAATGATATTCTCCCTTCTGGCACTGAGGCAGCACAGAAAAAAATGTCTGATTTGTGTGCAGAGGGGATAAACCCAAACCAAAGGGAAAGAAAGGAGTAGATTGGGACATAGGCAGATAAGGTTGTTTGGGTAACTTTGATATATTTTATTAGACCAATTAAATAGTTTGAAAAATTGTTCTTTGCAAGCTTTCAGGCACAAACACCCCTCTTCAGGCATAGGGAGAGTCTGATGATGTTTTGTGTTCTCCATGGTGGAATAGAAGCCAATATGCAAAATGCAGGCCTGTGAAAATACAAATGTGTGGAAGTGAGGATCGGAGGCAGTGGGAAGCAATGGGTGGGAGACAGGTAGGTGGGGAGGGAAAAAGTGGGAACTGTTGACCTGGTGATAGCTGGTAAAATGTAGAGAGATTACCTGGGATTATTGCATGACAGACAATTTATAAGGATGGTATGTCATAACGAATGGTGTGCAATTTGAGAGGACTTTCTTTTTGTACTGCAGCCGTTCTTCACGTGGTATCTGGCTGATTCTTTCAAAAGTATGATCTATCTCTCTGGAGGTGTGTCCTTGTTGAGTGAAATCCCTCTTGAGATTTGCAAGGTGACAATTGTGAATGTTCTCAGTGCAAATTCAGTGGTTTTGGAGGGCTTGGCTGTATATTACAGTTTTCTTGGTGTGTTCAGGGTGATTGCTGGTTCTGTGTAGATATGCATGTTGGTTGGTCTGTGGATTTCTTGTATAACGTGGTCTGTATTTTACCATTCTGGATGTTGATCATAGTGTCTAACAAGGAAATGTTGGTGCTGGAGTATTCTAGAAATAATCTGATGGAGGGGTGATGATTATTGAATTTGTGATGGAAATCAATCATGCAGATTTTTGGTCCAAATGATGAAGATCTCATCCATATATCTTCAGTACATCATGGATTTGATGATGCAGTTCTTGAGGAATTCTTTTTCCATGTGTCCTATAAAAAGGTTGGCATACTGTGGGGCCATTTTGGTGCCCATAGCTGCACCCATGGTCTGGAGGAAGTGTTGGTTATTGTAAGAGAAGTTGTGTGTGAGGATGAAGTGTATAAGTTCAGTAATATCTTTAGGTCTGTACTCTGAATTGTAATCTTACTCTTGTAGATATGTAAGTCGGCTTAGATGCCATCCTGGTGTAGGGATGCTTGTATATAAACTGGTAGCATCCATGGTGGCTAGGAGGGTATTGCTGGGAAGGTGGTCTGTGTTTTTAAGTTTTTGTAGAAAGCCTGTTATGTCTTGGATAAAACTCACTATTTCGGTGACAAGAGGTTTTAAGATGGATTTGATTAAATCTGGTATTTCCTCAGTTAGAGTTCCATCATTGGATATTATAGGTCTGCCTGGGTTTCCTTGTTTGTGGATTTTAGGGAGCATGTAAAAAGTCCCCAGGTTGGGTAGTGGGGGGAGGTGGGATCAAGTTCTGTAGTTTTTCTTGTAGTTCAGATGGAAATTATTTGATGGTTTTAAAGTGAAAAAGGGAGTTGGATCTTCCTCTAGTTTTTTGTAGTCAGTGATCAGAAAGTTGTCTGTTGGTTTCTTTTATGTAGTCTTCACAGTTAAGGATAATTATAGCTCCTCCTTTATCTGCTGGTTTTATTAGCATTTGGTGGTTGGATCGTAGAGAGTCTATGGCCCTTCTTTCTGAGAAGGAGAGGTTGTTCTGGTAGTGTTTGTGGTTGATTATTTCATTGTTCATTCTTTCCCAGAAGCAGTCAATATAGCGGTCAAAGTTTGAATTTCGTTCACTGTGAGGTGTCCAATCTGATGGGTTTTTGGTTTTTAAGGGTTCGTCTTTTCCTTGATGTTGTCAAAAGATTAAGTGTTGTTGAAAGTGGATTTGTTTTGGTTGTGGAAATATTCCTTGAGATGGAGGCATCAGAAAAATTCTTCTAGTTCTTCACATTGTAGTATATTATTAGGGTATTTTGCTGGAAAGAAATTAAGGCCTTTAGAGAGGACAGATTGTTCAGCTTTGGTATGTGTGTGCGTGGAGAGATTTGAGGGTTGACTGGTTCTTTCAGTGTCATTGCGTATGTTATTGGAATGCTGTAAGGTGTTGGTGTTGTGAAGAAATGGATTGGACAAGGCGGAGTATGGAAAGAACAAAAGCTGTCTTGGTAAAGAGCCAGGGAGATGGTGGTGGAGGACGAAGAGGTTGGAGTTGGCTGGCAATGAGTTCAAGAGGAGGAGTGGGAAGTAGGAGAGTCTTGAGCAGTCAGCTTGGAGGTGTTGACTTAGAAGTATATGGCCAAGAAGACTGAGACTGAAATGAGACACCTGATGAGTGGAGTTTGGGACTATGCTGGAACTGAGACAAGCTGGGGCAGGGAAGAGGCAGGACTGAATCAGACAAGCTGAAGAGGTCAAGACTGGGGAAAGAATGGGCAGAAGATTCTGAGCACATTGGAACCCGCTCTCCTCCAAAGCCTGGAATAGCAACCTCAGTTTCTGAGTTTCACCAAACTTCTGCTATAAGCAAATATAAATGAAAGTATTTTTCCTACTGGCAAAGTATTTGTCCCATCCCTCTTTAGTTCTGGCCCTTAGAGAGAATGGCAACTGGCATCAGTATTTGTTCCAGTTGTGAAAAGTCTCTATCGGGGGTCTAGAGGTTCCAAGCCTGTTGTGGATGTCTCTGTGATGCTGCACGATAGAGTTCTGTTTTTTCTCTTGCAACAAACCTATGATCTTCCACACAAAACAGCTGGTATTATTAAGGTTGCAGAATCAAACACTCAAGTTAGAAAATGCCAGAATTATGTTTGCCTGTGTAGCCTTAGTTTGCCTTCCTTCTGCACATGCTTTATGAGGCAGATTTTAATTAAATGATGAGATACTATTTCCCCCCCACAGGATTCTTGCCTTGTTTAGTGTGCAGGATGGACCTATTCTAGGAGTAAATCAGCTGTCATGTGCAAAGAAAACCAAAAGCACATAGCAACACATATAGGTATTTAGAATTTATTTTATCATGATGATAGAGACACTGGTAGGCTTCCACATTGCTTTAACATTGTAAATATACCAATAGAGCATTACCCAACTGATTGTGTTCTCTCTCTCTAGATATATATGTATGTGTGCGTGCGCGCACATGTGTGTGTGTGTAGAGTGGTCTTTTGTTTTAATTGGAAAAAAACATGGATTTTGTGGTATGTTTAAAAATGGATTTGGGATGCTGCTGCAGCAGGCAAGCTGGTACAAGGGGTAGCATCCCCAGGTACCAAGTGGCCGGGCCCCAGAAGCTCTTGAGAGTGAGTAGCCCTGAATTGCTTGCCAGGGAAGCTTTTTGTACGGATGGGGCCAGGATAGGGTCACATAGGTATCTAGAGAGAGAGGGAGAGTGCAGTCAGTTGGGCAGTGCTTTATTGGTATATTTATAATGTTAAAGCAATGTGGAAGCTTACCAGTGTCTCTATCATCATGATTAAATAAATTCTAAATACCTATATGTGTTGCTGTGTGCTTTTGGTTTTCTTTGCACACGACGGGTGTGTGATGGGGGATGTCGTGTTTGTAGGAAGGGGGTGGGAAGGGTGTGGGGGAAGGTGGGTGTGTGTGTGTGGAAGTTTGTGGGTTGGTGTGTGGGTAGTGTGGGGCGACTGCTGGGGGGACTGTGGGTGTGGGGGACCTTGTGGGGGGATGCTCAGGAGGGGTGGGTCCCCTGGCCCCCACAGGGTGCAGCCCCCCCACACAGCACATGGAATGTCCACCCCCCAACAGGGCCCTAGCTCCCACATGGAGGGTCACAGCCCCTATCCCCCACAGGGCCCCAGCCCACCTGCCCAGGGTCCCAGCTTTCCCTGGAGGGCCACAGGCCCCCCGCCCAGGGTTCCAGGCACCCTGGAGGGCCCCAGCCCCACCACCCAGGGCCCATAACTTACCTTTTAGCAGCAGCAGGGAGAGTGGAGTGCTCTGAGCCATGGAGGCAGGACCCGGCATGGCACATGGGGACCACGCGCTGGGTCAGCCAGGTTCTGCTGGCCCTGGGGACTGTCTGCCGCCTGGCTGGGCAGGGCCCTTGGTGGCAGGACCTGGTGCAGCACATGGGGACTGTGTGCTGGGCCCAGCCAGGTCCTGGGGCCTCTCTGCCACCTGGCCCGGCCCATGGCAGCAGGGTCCAGTGTGGCACACGGAGACTGCCCTCGGGCCCTTCTGCCGCCCATCCCAGCACCCCCAACCCAGGGTCCCAGGCACCCTGGAGGGCCCCAGCTGCCCCGCCAAGGGTCTCAGGCATGAGCACTGGAGCCCTGGTGCTGAACACACAGCCTGGCCAGGCGCACATTTCAGCACCAGGGCGAGGAGCCAACCACGGAAATGCTCTGGCAGCCAGAGCATCTCCCTGGAGGACCCAGCCCCTGCTTTTTTTTTGCTTTGTTTTTTTTAGACCCCTGGGGTCTAATTTTCCCCCCGTGCTGCAAACTTGCAGCATGGGGAACATTTTTTTGGTCCCGCACATGCCTCTTGCCCTGCTTCAAAGGGGTTTGAGGCAGGGCAAGAGGCACGTGCGCACTCATCTGGACGCACCCATACAGTACTAAATATATAGAAATACTAGGTCCTAAAGGGGTTTAAATTAGGATCTCAAAATCAGTAGATACTTTTGACTTTAATCATCTGTGTAACTGGTTACTCATTTATAAAATGGGATCAGTATCATTCTCTCATGTCATGGGCATGCCATGATGGTAAAATTAATGTTTGTGAATTATCCGGGTACTAGAAGTGACACACCCCATAGCATAGCCTCTGAATAAATGTATCATTTATTAGTGATTTGCGAAAGGTGCCCCATGAAAGTAGTAGTAGAATAAGGAGTAGAGTTCAGATCTTCTGAATTCTAGTTCAGGATGCCATCCAGTAAGCATGACTGCCTGGAGCTTCACTTTGAACAATGAGGTGGAAACAGATATTGAACAGCTGTTCCATAATTAATACCCTCCATCCTATACAGTGAATGAGGCAAGGTTCTTCTGGGGAAAAAAAAGTAACTCTTAATCTTTTTAGATTCAAGGTACCCCTCAGAAAATATCAGCTCTTAGCTTTCTTAACTACAGAAAAATAATAGAGCAATTCTGTTGCAAGAACTTAAAGACTACAACAGGTCAAAATGTTTTTGATGCTATAGATTCCTATTTGAAATCTCTGGGTTCATCTTGCAAATCATGTGTAGGTGTTTGCATACATATAGCGTGTCCATTCAAGCATGGATGTGCGATATGTGGTGCAGGTCTGTGGCACCACACACCACACATGCAGGTATTTCCCACGCTGCTACTTCACAATGCACAGGGTTTTTTTGACTCCAGGAAATCCTGGGGTCAAAAATACCCACACCAAAAACACAGTTGCTGGCCCCAGCCTCTCCTACCCCACCTGGGGTAACCTGCCGTGTGCCCGAGTGTGCATGGCAGGAGTGTTCTCCAGGGACAAGTAGCAGTGACACAAGGTGTGGGGACATGGGGATTCACCCATAAAGTGCTTGTATTCTGTGTCACCCTTAAAAGGATGTCGTGGCACCCTGGTTGAGAATCATTGATGTTGTAGGGTTGCCAACACTCCTGGATTGGCCAGGAGTCTGCTGGAATCAGCACTGAAATCAGTAACTATTGAAAGTAATCTGGGAGATTAATATTGTGAATGGGTTGAACAGTAGAATTAATCACTAGAGGTGCACCAGTACATCAGTCCCATATTGGATTGGCACCGATATAAGGAAAATTGACAGTATTAGCAATCAGCCTTTTTTGGCTGATGTGGCTGATAATGTTGCCAATAAATGTCCCATGCATGTGTGCAGCCACAGCGCAGCGTGCAGGAGGCCAGGAAGGAAACCCATCAGCGTGGAAGCAGCCAGGTCTGGCTGGTAAGTCTGTTGTGAGAGAAGGGGTGTGGGGGGAGCAGTTCAAGGCCCCAGCAGTAAGGAAGGGAGTGGAGTTTGGAGTGGGGCAGGGGCAGGTGCTGCACAGCCAGGGCAGGGCATAGGACAGAGCCACAAGTGGGGTGTTTGGGGGGCGTGGGGAGGGGGTGGCAGCTCCTGCTTCTGCATGCACCCAGGAGGACACAGTGGGCATATGTCCCCAGATCTGTGCACAGGGCAAGAGCGGGCTGTCACTGTGGGCTGGGTTGGGATCTTCCCAGCGGGGGGAAGGGGATTGGGCTGGGGCTGCACTCAGGGTGGCAGCAGCAGCAGTGCTGGGAGGGGAGCTACAGTGAATTTTGCAGTGGCTGCAGGCCCCCCTATAGCTCCCTTCCCAGCACCACCACTGCCCACCCCAAGCACAGTCCAGCCCAGCCCAGCCACCTGTTGGGAAGAGCTTGACACCACCCTGGTCCCAGCCTGCAGCAGCAGCCCACCCTCACACCACACACATATCTGGGGCACATGCCCCTGTGGTTCCATCCTGTGCCCTACCCCTGCTGTGCAGTGCCTGCCCCTGCCCCAGTCCCACCCTCTCCCTTGCTGTGGGGGCCTCGATCTGCTTCCCCCCATGCCCCTTACCTTCCCCCACAACAGACTTACCAGGTGGATGCTGCTCGCCAAGCTGCCTGGCTGCATATCTGCAATCAGATCCATATCGACTGATATGGCTTGTTAAAAATCAGCCATCAGTATCAGTCCAAAAAAATCTCTATCAGTGCACCCGTATTAATGCCATTATGTCGAGTTAGGAAAAAAAAATCTCCTGAAATAGCTTCAGTCAGAGTTGACAACACTATGATGTTGTGGCACGGCACCTTTGGTACCTGCCACTGTAAGGGCTTGAGCAGGCAGCAGGGTAGCCTGCAGGTGACTGCATTGCCAATCGGGAGGCTCACATAGGCTATGCAATTGCAGGATAAGAGCAGGTCCTGAGCAGTAGAGCTGGAAGTTGCTGCAGGGATGCTGCCACATTAACATCACCCAGCCAGAGCTCCTCTGCTCCTGGGAATATCTGGAGGTTCAGGGTAGGAGCTATGGGATGGAGGAGGTTCCTAGGGACCCAGTGGGGTTCCAAGACCCGAGGAAAAGGCGAAGAGCTAGGCCAGCCTAGCTCTTCGGCCTAGGAAGGAGAATATAGGTTGTGGGCCAGAGAGGGGCTAGGTTAGCCCCTGATTATATCTGGTGGTGAGGCCAGAGGCTCAGGTGAGCCCCGTGGAGTAAAGGGCTGCCGGATAAGATCTCTGGGGCTCTAGGCAAACCCAGGGAAGTTTATGACTTTCTGGCAGTGTCAAGGGGGACCCTGTGGAGTAGAAAGGGTCAGCTGCTGGTGATGGTAGGTATGGTGCTGGTTGTTTTTAATGAGCAGCCCAGGGCTCTTGACTGGCCCAAGCTGGGGCCAGGGCCCAGAGTGGCAGAAAGGCAAGTAGGCCCATGGTGAGGGGCAGGCCAGGGCAGCAGAGAGCCCTCGCACCCCGATTGGGCAGAGTGTGGGCCCAGGCTGAAGTTGAGCAAAAGTCTCTCGAGGGAGAGACCAAGCGAGAGAGCAAGGGGGTCAATCACCTGGCAGACTGGTATGATAGAGGCTGAACCCTCCCCCTCCCCTGGATGAGCCACCCACGGCCCTGTCCTGCTCCCCACTGGGGCCCTGCAGCCCCCAGTCCTGCAGCCCCGCCTGGCTGGGTAGGGTTGTGCGAAGCTTCCCTTGCAGCCTGTTTGAAACAGATTCAGAGGAGATTCGGCCAAAATGAAACAGGACAGTGATCTGAAACACCAACATTTATCACTGTCCTCCAAAACGGCCAAATCCGAATCGAAACACAGATGTTTCGCACAGCCCTATTGCAGATGTGACCCTACATCTCCTAGCTTCTATGTGCTTTATTTTGCAACCTTGATAATGTCTTTAATACATAGCTTTTTCTCTCCCGTTTAAGAAACCAGCCCAGATCCTGGGTATAGATGATGTCAATGGAGTGTTTCATAGCCTGCTGCAGTTTTTTCCCCAGTGAATTAGGTACTTCAGCTAGTTAATTCCAAATAAGTCTCTTAAAAAAAAAGAACGGTTTTTGGTGGGAAGAAGGACTTCTGTTGCTAAGCAGTGTGAATCCTAGACCAACAATAGCCACACAAAGACACATCACATGTGCCTCTGGTGCTACGTAAAGAAATAAATCTATCCATGACTCGTTTTTACACACACCCACCCACAGGCAGACTGCAGCTGGGAGAAATGGTGTTGAATGAGAGGAAGGAGGGGTTATGCAACACAGGCTACTGCTATGGCAACCCTTGCCTGGCCTGCTGGCACAGTCTGAAGAGTTGTGGTCTGGATGTTCCTGGCCAGCTCAGCAATACAGGCAGGCTCCAGGAAAGCCCCCACCTTCACATCTCCATTTCCCACTCTCTGAGGTAGCACCGCTGGGACTTCCTGTTATACATCAGCCCACATTATCTGATTTTAATGTTCTGCCCTTTGCTTTTGTCCCTCTACAATGACATTCTACTGCTTTGGGGTATTTCTGCACTGCCCCTTTTCCTTACCCCCTCCGCACTCTGCCTACATCATGAATGCTCTGTAAGAAGCCTTTTTCAGTGAATGTGGAAAATGGCAAGGAGGAAACACCCCTATTTCAGCCTCTTCTGGCTGCCTGACTGATTGGAAAATCTAAAGCAAATTCCTTGCCTTGTAAATGTTGACCATGCCAGAGAACCTGCAGTGTGTTCTGCATGATATAGGACTTCCCAGGTAACAGAAAGTCTGACTGTTAGGAAACTTGGGAGGGGATAAACAATGAGAAAGACACAGGATGGAGAGGGGGAGGAAGTGGGGGGGGACAGACACTCAGCTTCATCAGTGGCCACATCCTAAACATTATTCATATTCATTTCTACTGACCAGCACCACTCCCTTCTCATGGGACCTCTAGAACGCCCCCAGCTTGTCTTCACGTGTACACACGTGCTGCCTTTATAGTTCAGTCCTTGGCATGTGAGGCAGCTTCTTTACAGGATGTGCAGATGCAGGCTCACTGATTCACTCCAGCTGCTTGGGAAGCTGACAAAAAGCCAGTCCAGCTAGGGATGCAGCAAACCACCTCTGCTGGTATGGGGAGGCTCCAAAGTAACAGTGTGGGGATTCCTCTAAACCTCTGTTAGTTTGCTGAGTTGCTTCTGTCTCCAAGAGAAGGGGTGAGGGATACTACGGCACTCTGAGAGACTGTTCCTGACATGCCCAAACCACAAAATTAAGAAACAGTGGTTCCTCCCTCCTTGTCATACGAATGCTAGTGTTTGAGGTTTCTCTCAGTGTTGTTAATGGGGCAGTTTTGATGCAGTGGTGCAATATAAGGCATTAACTAGCCCAAGAGTCAACTGGCCAATGAACCAACACACTTGGAGAGCCATGTATGAATTAAAGGGGATTGAAATCCTTGTTAAAAAGGCCAAAAAAGATATACTCTCAGATAATAAACCTTACATACTGTAATTACATATGTAATTATAAGAATGCAAGAACTGTCCATATACTGGGTCAAAAACATAGGTCCACCTAGCCCAATTTCTTGTCTCACACAATGACAGAGACTAGTTACTGAGGGGGAAGGTAAACAGGATATAACCAGCACTTTCCACCCCCTGCTTCTCTCTCATTGAAGGATTCCAGTATTTGGGGGCTGTATCTGTCCCCAAAATCCACTCATCTTTCCCCTTTCCCCTAGGAACATAACAAGATGTCATACCTTTTGTTTGAAAAGAACTTTGCAAGCATCAGTAGTAACTTACTCTCCCCCTGTACTTGGTGAGGAAATCTTGCATTAATTGTCCTAACATCATTGTCCATGTCCCTGTTCTGCACCCTCCATTTCTCTGTCTGTTCTAGCAGTGATGCCTTAGTGCCCCCTTTGTCACCTCTTGCTATTGCTGTTTCTGTACCTCTTTTCAGACTGCCTCTTATGCAGGAAACTCCTTTTTCATTTCAGTTCTTCTAATTTTAGATTGCCCACAAGTAGGGAGGTTTCAATAACAAATGAACAATACCACCTCCCACATCCCGTCCTTTAAAAAAAAAATTAAGTTTCTGCCTTACACTCTCCTCTGACTCTCAGCATCTTTTGCCAATTCAAATTCTTTATCATTTAGATATACTCATGTGGGAATCTAATAAAATGGGTAGATTTTACAGACATCAGTATAGCGTTACTTACAAGTAGACTGAGGTCTTACATTTTTAGTGGATCGGGTCAATTTTTGTTGGAGAATTTGGTTTTGCTGACATCAAAACTGTGTGTGAGGCCACATTGATTTGAATGAAAATTGATGGGGGAAAGACAAAATAGTTTGTTTTGACTTGTACATGGAGCAAGGGTGTTATTTGTGATATCTTTTATTGGACCAATTCCAATAAAAGCTATCACAAAAAAGCCCTTGCCTCTTGTGGATTTCCTGGACCATCATGGCTACAGCTATGCATGACTGGGCAGTGAATATCAAGGGCTATAGGCTGTACAGGAGGGACAGGACAGGGAGGAAAGGCGGGGGTGTGGCGCTCTACATTAAGGAGGAATACACATCCTCATCAAGTAGCACAGAGTCAGAGGAGGGGCACACTGAAGTGCTCTGGGCTAGAATACAAGGCAGTCAAGGGGAAAGAGATTTAATGGAGGGGGTCTACTACAGATCACCCAACCAAGGGGAGGAGCTAGACCAGGAATTCTTAAGTCAGCTCACGGAGGTAGTTAGGTCAAAGGATGTGGTCATCATGGGTGACCTGAACTTTCCAGACATCTGCTGGGAAGAGCAGTCATCCAGGTCTGACTGCTCACGTAGGTTTCTAGCCAAAATGCAGGACCTCCATCTAACCCAGGAAGTGCACAGCCCCACCAGGGGAGACGCCTTGTTGGACCTGGTGCTGGCCACGGGTGATGACCTGGTGAGGGGGCTGCGGGTGCTCGACCACCTGGGCGACAGCGATCAT